GAAACATATATAAAAGTAAAGATGTTGCCCTGGCCAGTGTGTTTCTCAATGGTTAGAGTGTTGGCCTGCCCACTGAAGGAACCCATACTTGGTTGGGCTGTAAGGGGGGCAATTGATTGATGTGTCTCTCTCACATGGATGTCTCTCTCTCTCTCTCTCTCTCTCTCTCTCTCTCTCTCTCTCTCTCTCTCTCCCCATCCCTGCCTTTTTCCCTCCTCTCCACTCTCTAAAAAAATCAATGGAAAAAATATCCCCAGGTAAGGATTAACGACAACAACAAAAAATAAAATAAAGATGTTGACCAGCTTATTTTTTGTAAAAAAAAAAAAAGAAAGAAAGAAAAGAAAACTAGACACCTATATGTCCTTCAATAAGATATAGAGAAATATACTCTGGAACATCTTATGAAATACTATGTAGCAGTTTAAAAGAATGAGGTGTTTCCATATGCAATGACATGTAATAGCACGTGAAAACAGAAAGCTGCAGGAAAATATCCACAAAATGGTCTGCCGCACCTGTCAATCTTATTTATGCTCACACAAAGCTTCTTTCTCAACCACCGATAAAAAGAAAAAAATGTATATATATATGTGTATATGTATATATGTGAATGTGTACATATATCACATATATGTATATCTCCATATGATACTATGCGTTAAAAAAAGACACAGCAATATCATCTATACCTGTAATGATAAACACATACTATAAGACAATGTATAGGAAATAATATTTTAAAAAATGCCGTCAGACCTGGGGTATGGGAGTGATCTGGGGGCGGGGAGTGACACATTCATACAAGATTTTTAGAATTCAATATTAAGTTTCTTTTACAAAAGAAAAAATAATTTGCAGAGACTCCCTCTGCTTACTATGAGGACAACTGTTTACTAGTATAGTGTCATGCACAGGCAGTTTTGCAACCACACAGACTTTGGGTTTTGCAGTTCCTTTACATAACAAAAAGGTCTTCCCTGAACAAAGGGGGATTCGCCTTGCCCTGCCAGCCCTGGTCCAGAGGAAGTTTCAGGCAGAAGTGTCAGAGGTCTCCACCAATCGATGCAGGGCAGCAGCCAGTACAAAGGACAAAGAAGAGCTTTTGTTTCCTCTCTCCAATGAGAAGGAAGGTGGTCAGCAGCAACCACAGGAGCCCTCCTAAGTGTCTGAGGATCGGCCTGCTTCGGACTGGCTGCTGTTGTCTACACAAGGCATCGCAATCAACGTAATAATCACAGCGGACACTTCCAACTGTCCCCTGTGTGCCAGGCCCTATGCTGGGGGGCTCAATACCCAGAGTCTCACTTAATCTGCACAACCATCTAAGAGAAGAGCCTTAGTACCCATTTAACAGAAGTGAAAACTGAGGTGCAGATGGACTAAGAAAGGTTCTCAAACGAACGCCTGAAGAGCAATTCTAACTTACGCCTGTCAATCTCAAGCCTGTGCTCTGACCCCCACCCTACGCTGTGTCCTCAACCATATTAATATGGTTCGTTTAGAGGGGTATGTGGACCTCACTCCAATTAATATGTGTATATTAATGTTGTTTTATTTATGTTTAGGTTAAGAGCCCAAAGTGATTTCCAAAGAACACTGACGAGCAGCTACCTTTCCTCCTGCCTAACCCCTGAGAAAGAGCACTGGTTAAATGGGGCTGCTCTGCCACTCTGGGGAACAGAGGCCTCAAGTGATCAAAGTTAGGGGTTTCAAGGCAACTTTACCTCAACATAATAATACATTTGCGTTTTTTTTGGCTGCAGTAGGAATGCAAGTTTCATGTTTTTATAGTTATATTTATTGAATCCATGTTTATTCAGCCCTGGCACATGGCTAGGGCCCCATATTGAAAAACCTGGAATTCCTGTGTTCTTTTCTACTCCGGTTGCTACTGGGGGTCTTTTATCCCAGCCCTGTTTGATCCAGCAACATGTGCGGGGGCAGGGAAGAGGCAGGCAACCTTGTCTAACAAGGCCAGAGAGACAGCACACCTGCCCTCCAGATGCAAAGAGCTTATATAAAAGGAACAACGTATGTAACAAATTTCCCCCAAATTACAATTCTCAGAGAGAGTGGGTTAGGGAAATAAATTTAGAGAGAAGAGTGGCAGATGGGATAGATGGATTCAATTAAGGCAAAGAACATCAAACAATTCCAAGGATGCCTCATTTTAATGGAACATGTCATTTTCTCCTCGTCGCCTCCAGGTAACTCCCAACAACAGTCTAGGTAGGAAGTGGGTTGTGCACACAGCACCTCGACCCCAGCAGGAGTTGAATATCCTAAAATGAGAGAGCTAATATTCCCTCTTCTTTTCAATAATGTGGTGAAACAGTACATGAATCAGATTAAGCAGGCTACGTATTCGATGCACATTTCTACAGAACCGGGTGTTATTCAAATTAAATAGGCATTTCCCATTGTCACCTTCACTGAACTGATTTCTCAATTTGGTCTATGGGAGAGTCTCCTTTTTAATTAAACCAACCACTGTCATTTTCCTAAGAGGATAAAACAATAAAAATATTTACATCCCTTTTATCTTGCTAAACATTAATCATGAGGGGTAGAAGCTGTTGCTAGATAGTTTTATCACAGAGACATTATGTTAACATGCTTTAAATTGCTGCTTTGCAGGTCAATTTATTCCTATTAAGAATGTATAAGATTCTTGTTGTCACTAACAGTATTTATAACTACTTACTATCAAAAGGAATTCAAGTCTGTGATAAATTTGCAATACACAGTTGACATATGCGCATAGATGTGTAAATAATAACATGTGTGCACCATGTTGACCTGAACACTACACCCAACTGACCTCAATTTTCATCGAAAGTCAAGTGTGAAAGTCTAGTAGTTTGATGAGCAATGCTTTCTTTCTTCTCTGGTTCCTAGCAGCGTAATGTAATTGACAGCCATTTTATCGGATTTACAAAGTGATAGGTAGGTTGCAGTTTCACAAAGTTGGTATTATTATCTCTGTAGTCAGTGGAACCTGTGGAAGGCTTAGAAGAGAAACTCTACAATTATACTCCATAGCTCTAACTGCAATAACGTACACTTGTTCTGATTATCAGTTAAACGGGCAATGTATCCGGTCTTCTTTTGTAGAGATGCTACATCACGTTTAGAGTCCAGCACTATGTTGCAAAGTAAAATCCTCTCAGCTAGAAGAGAATAATATTTAGGATGTCATACCATCTTCAGGGTGCTGTGCAGAAATAAGCTCAGCTGGGAGAGTAAACTAATGTTAAAATATTGAACCATTGCTTCGTTTCTCTGCAATTGAGCTGCCCTGACTTTACCTAAGGAAAAGCCACTGGGATTTTTTGAGTGGTTTCAAGTGGCTCCCAGCAGAGGAGACAGAATTTTCTGGAAGATCAAGTCACTGACTCCCAGCCACTGGGCTTGAGTCCCTTCATCATTATGCACTCCACACACCTCGAGGAGGGCGGGGTTGTTAACAACCACCGGTGTGATGGCATCGCTGTCAGCAGACTTGTTTCCAAAGTTACATTATGACCTTGTCCTTGGAGAAGTCTTCCTACACAGTAGTAATTGAATTTAAAGAGCAAAACCATGAGCATCCAAGGGATAAAGATAAATTGCAAAACTCAGGGTATATAGGAGATACTAGTGTAAACCAGTTCCACAAAGCTGGCCAAAAAAAATGGGGGGAAAGATGATACACAATTCACAGGAGGCTGAAAAGAGGAGCAAGGGAACACTGCTCAGACTTTTCCTTTGTTAAACTTACATTTTGTTATCCACTCACTTTATACTCAAGTCATGCTGGAGTAGTTATATATTACTACGTAACAAGTTACTCCAAAACTTAACCACTTAGAATGACAAACACTAATTATCTCCATTTATGTGGGTCAGGGATACAGGCAAGACATAGCTGGGTGCTTCCAACTCAAGGTCTCTCACAGATGTGGGCCAGCACTCGGTCTAATCTCAAGGCTCAACTGGAGGAAGACAAACTTCACACTCACCGGGCTGTAAAGGGTTCCACACCTCACAGCCTAAAGGCCTCCCTTGGTTTCTTGCCACAATATGACAGTGGGCTTTCTTAGAGCAAGTGAATGAAAGCAAGAAGCCATTGTCTTTTTGTAACCTAACCTCAGAAATGACATCCCATCACTTTTGCCCTATTCTAGTTGCTAGAGGCAAGTCATTAGGTTCAGCCCACAATGAAGGGAAGGGGATCCCACAAGGGTATGAATACCAGGGTCACTGGGGTCATCTTAGAGGCCACCAACCACATCTTCCTTCGCATTCACAATAGAGGAATAAACACCAAAAATGGAAGGAAAATCGGAAAGAAGTAGGAGAAGGGGAAAATGTCCCAGGATCTCATTACTTGTGCCTCGCACCTCTATATCCCTCTCTGATTCTCCCCAAATCCAAACATACAACATATCCTCTGACGAGATGCTCTCTCCCTAGGCTTCTACCTGTCCCCTCTTCTCTACTTCGTGGGCCTTCATTTCTTCACACTATCGATAATGTGGCACTACTTTCCTAACCAGCTTCCATAGTGCAATACAGCCTGGACATCAAGGCCAGACAGAGTAAGTCATACTTTCTACTTACCCTTATGCTGCAGAAGCCCCTGTAGTGGTTCCCAGTTGTCAAGCAAAACTCTTTAGGCTATCATTCCCTGCCTTCCATAATTTGTCTCGAGCCGGACTATACAGCCTCCTCAACCCTAACCCCCAACAGTAACCCACATCCCAGGTAAGCCACACTCAACACCCTCACACACCACATTTATACACAGCTTGAAGCCTTTGCAAACACCAGCCTGCTCCCTCCCTTGGCAAAATCCAGTCTTCACCTTACCCTTCTACATCCTTCCCCTGCCCAAGAGGCAGAGCCAATCCCGTCTCCTCAGGGACACATTGCCTGACCTCTCCCCGCCGGATCTCAGTTCCTCTTCGGAACAGGCAGAGCTGAGAGACACGCCATCTACCACCCAAGGCACTCACTGTGTGCGGGTCTTGTTTTCCCAAGAAGTTTCACGCTTTCCTTCTTCCACGGAGACCGGGCTGGATCTCATTTGTTTTCCTTTGCTGCAGGGCGCCTGGCCCATTGCAGGCAGTAGCTGTTGAAAAGATGGATGGATGGTGAATAGAGAGAGAGAGGAGGGAGGAAATGTTAAGCTCAGGGCCTGGCATACATAAGAGGCCAATAAGTAATAAATATTGGTTAACACCACCAATCCTTAAAATGAGAATTCTTCACCCAGTGGCACCGTGGCCATTTAGTGGTCCCTATGTGCAAAGGCAAATGACATTTATCTGGGTCTGACAAACACGCACACACACACACACACACACACACACACACACACAGCAACAACAACAACAAAAAAAAACACAAAAAAAACAAGCCCATTCACGCAAACATCACGACTGAAGACTTATGTGTAGCTGCTCCTCCATCGCCCACCCCAACCCTGGCTCTCAGACACAGGGAAATTAGATGGCACCGCCAGGGCAGACCTCAAGCACAGAGCAACTTCCCATCAGTGCGCTTCAGCCACGGGAAAACAGAAGTGGTAAGAACGAACAGGGTGCTGGGGAAATAGAGGGAAAATATACCTACGGTGGTGGTGGTTGGGGGCGGGGGGGGGGGGGGTTGTCCACGTTTTCGGTAAGTCCGAGTAAACAAAGGGTTTTTAAAAAGAAATACCAGGAGACCTTTTAAGGCCTTTACTGCCCACCTCTAGGGAGAGAAGGGAAATCTCAATGCACGCAACAAACGTCCGACATTCAGAGGAAACCCAGCGCTTCCTATCTACTGGCGAGAGCAGTCCAACCTACAATGAATTCTCCCAGGAGTCAGAGTCCTGGCGGGAGGTTCCAGGCGCTGGTCCCGGCCACTCTCCTCGCACCGCAGGGAGCGCAGAAAACTGCTCCCGAGGCGCGGTGGGCGGGCCCGGTGCCTTCGCTCCCCGGCTACCGAGACCCCAGAGCCAAGTCTACGCGGTGGTTCTCCGCGCGCCGGCGGCGCGCACCGCGCAGAGGATCTGGGGGCGCCGGGCGCTGAGTTTGGAGCTCGGCGTGTCCCGCAGTCCGAGATGGGGAGGCAGCTCCTCTCGCCCCCAACTCACCTGCTCTGTAGAACCACCTCCATCCACTCTCCGGTCTCAGGTCCCAGAGGCGTTCGCGGAGCCCTCCACGGTCCAAGGTCCCCCGTGAAAGGGAAGGACGGGTCAAGGGGGTGGTGCATGGGATGCGAAGTCACCGGGGTCCCTTCCCCGGCCTGGCGTGGTCGTGGGGGTGGGGGCCGGAGGTGGCCAACCTGCTCGTCTCCGCCCCACTCAGCCGCGGGGATCCGTGCGGAGGCCCCTCGAGGGCAGGACACCCTGCAAGGGCTGCAGGCGAAAACTTTCAGTGCTCTCGCTGCAACTCTGCGGGAAAGGCCACCCTTCCTCCGGCCCAGGCCGCGCTCTCCGGGTCTGTCCCGGCGCCTGGCCCGGCCCCTCGCGGCCCCCGGGTGCAGGCGGCGGCGGCGCAGCATCTCCTCCCCCGGGCGCGCGGCAGCCTCTGGTCCCGGCGCTCGGCGGGCCCTGCGCGCGGCCCCTCCCGGCGGGGCGGGCGGGCGGCCGGGCGGGCGCGGAGCAGCCGGCGCCTCTCTGCTGCCTCTGGTGGCCGTGCGCGCCGCGTGCGGAGCCCATCCGGCGGCGGGCGCTGGGGCGCCGGCTCCTCCTCCTCGCTCTCTCTCCCCGCCCCCTCCCTCCTCCCATCCCTCCCTCCCTCCCGCCCGCGTTCAGAGCACTCAATGTCGGAACGTTCCGAAGATGACGTCGGAGCGTTCTCGAATCCCGTGTCTCTCGGCTGCTGCTGCCGAAGGAACAGGGAAAAAGCAACAAGAAGGAAGAGCAATGGCGACACTGGATCGCAAAGTGCCCAGTCCGGAGGCGTTTCTGGGCAAACCCTGGTCCTCCTGGATCGACGCCGCCAAATTACACTGCTCCGACAGTAAGAACCCCACCGCCTCCTCCTCCTTTTATTATCCTGTAACCTTTCCATTCACCTAGAGCCACTGGGAAAAAGTGTGTGTGTGAGAGAGAGAGTGGCCCCCGGTGTCCTCCATGCTTCTCCCTCTCTCTCTAAATAAATACACACAGAGACAGATCATCAGTGCACAGAGAGAGGCCCTGCTGCCAGGGCTGTCTGTCTGTCTGTCTGTGCCCGGCTCCCCGTGGCAGCCCGCGGGGTGGGCTTTCACAGCCCCATGGTGTATCTGTTTAAAAGGCTACTCTGTTGCTGCCTGCATAGTTTTTTTGGTACCTATCTGGGCCAGGTAGATGGAAATACGGACTTGGGAGAAAACGTCGCATTGTCAATTTTGGACAGATTTTCATATACAGTATTTATATCCATCTGTTTGCAAATAAACACTCTCCCTGCCCCCCTTGACTTTGGCTTTTTTCCCCCCTTTTTTCGCCCTTTTCCCTTATTTTCTTTTTTTCTTTTTCTTTTTCATCTGCAGATGTAGATTTAGAAGAGGCTGGAAAAGAGGGTGGAAAAAGCAGGGAGGTTATGAGGCTTAATAAAGAAGGTAAGTGGAGCTACTGGCATTTTAGTGTTAGCATGTGTGGCAGAAATCTTCACAGGATTTTCGACTATATTGTGAATTGTTCTGCTGGTTACAGAGTGACTAAGGCTTGTCAAAAATTGAGCACGCCCAGGTGTCTGCTGCTTCGGGTTAACTTCTTCCAAAGTATAAATACAACTGGGGGGTAAAGAGGGGGAGACTGTTGAGGCAGAAGTTTACTGCACTTCAGTTGGAGTCCACGTTTGGACCTGCTGATGCCTATCTGCCATTCGCATTTGCAGCATCATGGCCAAAGGTGGTGGTGGTGGGGTGGGGGTGTGTGTGTGTGTCAAAATCTGTGAAATGAGGAGCGGGGCTTCCCTCACAAGCATCCCAGCCTTTCTTGTGGGTAAATACACAACAGTTTCATGAACCTCACATGGTCAGGTATTCCAGCGGCTACTTCTCCACTCTCCACGGAAAACCATTGGACATGCGAACCTTTGTAGCAAGTTACATTTGCCCACCTTGTGTTTGGTCACAGATTGTTATGTGGCCAGCAGGGTTAGGGGCATCAGTGTGTGCCGCCCCCTGGCCAGTTGCCCCTCTCTGTTTCCCTAGCCTGGAAAGGTAGTACCTGAAATGGGACACAGTGAGTAGAGCGGTCATCCTAGACTGAGGCAGGCAAGTGAAGCCACAACCTGCTGGAACTGGGCATCAAGCACACATGGTCGTCATAAATAAATCATGTCCTGTTCATGTTTGCAAGCCTGCCATATGTAACTCTGGCCTATGGGTCCACGTGGAGCAAATCCAGAGGCCACTTTCTGCTGAACAAATGGGTGGGGTCATCTGAATTGTGATTTACTAACTGATGTCTTATAAACATGGTTGGCTGAAATTGGGGGTGAGAGGATGGCTCGAGGGGCCAGAAGGGGTTGGTGGGAAGTGTTGAAAGAGTTTAGCCGTAACTAGGCCACAGGAGCGTTGCTCATCCCAAATGAATGGAGATAAGGCCATTAGATTCCAAAGAATGGTCTCCCTCGTACACCGGGATATCATCCTTGAAGGCAGCCAAAACCTGCTTGGAAAGATGGCACTTATTTTGTGGGTCGACACCTATGACAGTTGGTTTTCTGCGCCTAATCATTTCGTGGCCATCCAGTGAGAGGAAAATGTGTGCTTCAGAAAAAATAACATGGAGGTTAAAATGCATGCATATTCAAGGACAGTTCTCTAGCATAGTGGTTCTGCTAATTAAGCACTTTGATTGGGAATGAAACCTTATTCTAAAGATGTTGCCTCTAAATATCTTACTGTGATCTTGACATATCCTTAGGATGCGCAAGGGAATGAAGTCAAGTGGACAGCTCACAAGTGGCAGCTTATTTGTGCTAAATGTTCATGAGTGTTGGCAATGGGAAGTATCACTAGAGATTGTTTTTCTTTGGAAACTCTTGAAATCTTTAAAAGCTAATGGACTCAGTTGTTAGACCACTGGCAATGGAAAGATTTCCATGAAGGAAGATGAGGTGGTGAAAACCTTTAAATTAAAGTTGAGTAAACGTTATGGTATGACACAGAATGGGCACCTCTTGGGTCTGGTGATCGATTATGACTAACACAAAACTCACATTCTGCACCCTCCTCCCTGCTTCTATTTCAAAAGACTTGTTCTCAGATTCTCTTTGCCTCGTGAGAAATGGATTCTTTTAAGGAAAAATGAAAGGCTCTCCTTTCCTCAGAATTCACAAGTGGTACATTCTGCTCATTATATCCTTTGTCCTGTAAAGGTACAAAGACTTAGCTCCCAATTATATGCATTTACATTAAGGACACCGCTGTTCGGTGTAACATGCAGTTGCTGAGTGCACCCAACAGCCATGTATGGACTGAAATCTCTTTGTTCATGGGCCTGGTGGAGCAGACTTGGGTTAGCTATTCCTGAAGGACTTCCTGGTATATGCACACAGTTTTCTTTACAGAGAGAATACACATAAACTAAATATATACCCCCCCACCACCCCACCACCACCATGGTGAGGAATTTAAGGGTTGAGCTGGGACTCAGTCGGGTTGTTTGGTTGCCAGGGTCTCCAGAAACACTGGTTGCATTAGTCTTGCCATGGGCTTTATTGTTGGAGTCATGTAGGTGGTCTCAGGACGGATACCTGTTTGTGGATGGGTCTCTGCAGAGCACAAAGTGACCGGGTGTGATTCTGTTTGTCTACGTGTGCAAGCATACATCGATGACCATAGTATGCAGGTCTTGAGAAGAAATTTGGGTCTTAATAGCAATAAATAAGTAGCAATTGAAAATGAGAAGGATATAATCCAGATTTTGATATGATTTTTATTGCGATGAAATAAACATAATACAAAATTTACAGTTTTAACCATTTTAAAGTATACAATTCAATAGTACTAAGTACATGCACAATGGTGTACAATAATTACCGCTATTCATTTCCCAAACTTTTTTATTATCCCAACCAGAAATCCTATACTCATTACACTGTAACTCCCCATTCCCCTCTCCCCCTCAGCCCTGGTAATCTCTATTCTATTTTCTGTCTCCATGAAGTTGCCTATTCTAAATACCATGTATAATTACATATATACATGTATATATCATGCAATATTTGTCCCTTTGTGACATGCTTATTTCACTTAGCATAATGTTTTCATGGTTCATTCCTGTTGCAGCATGTGTCAGAATTTCATTCCTTTTTATGGCTGAATAATGTTCCATTGTGTGTATATACCATATTTTGTTTAGTCATCTATCTTTTGATGAAGATTTGGCTTGTTTCCATCTTTTAATGGTGAATAATGTTGCTGTGAGCATTGTTGTGATACGATATTTTTTATAGATTAAGTTCATAGAAGGAAGGACTTGCAGACTTCTAAAATAACCCAATTATTGTAACATAGTTCCTTCTCCATTCCTCATTCCTTTTGTGCTTCAATTCTCCACCTACCTCAGTAGAAAGTGTTAACTGAAGGCTTTGAAATCTCAGTAATAAAGTCTTTACATCAATGTTATTGTTTCATCCAAAGTTGACTAAAATGACAGTCAAGATGAATTTGGAAAATACTTTTGAACCTTTCCAAATCATCACCTGGGTTCGAAAGGTGTTGCTGATTCCAGGCTTGGATGTGGTCAGATGGGGTTATATCGAGGGCAGCCTGGCGTGGTGAACGGAGCAGGAGAGAGGGATTGAGTCAGCTTCCTAGGTTCTCCCATATGACCTTGGGAACATCACTTCCCTTCTCTGGCCTCTTCTCTCACATGTAAAGTAAGGAAGTGGGGTTAAACATCCTCTACGGTCCCTTTGAGACCTCTGGACCCGAGTTTCTCTGCTGAATGTGCCTACACCTCAGATATAGTCATACCAGACAGGCTGTCTTCAGAAGAAGAGAAAAACTTTAAAAAAAAATCAAGGCCTCACATTAAAAACATCTTAAACTACTACTGGGTTTATTTTCTCATTTCATAATCCCTTGGTGGCAAAAATCACTGCATCTCAGACACAAGCATATTCTGCTGCAAATAGTTTATGAATGGTATGTGACCTTTAGGCCTTTGGAATGACTGAGGGTTTGAGTCCAGAACCCAGGGTGATGTGTTCCCCTCAGTGGCGAGTGAGCTGACCTAGGTCAGCTTGGCTCAGTGAGGCACTTAAATTTCCTGAGAAGAGAGGGTCCCAGAAACCTTGTTAGCCTAATCTAAGATAAGAAATGCACTTATGATAGAGAATTCAAAGAAGGCCGTTCATCTGACTAACCTTTTATTATAATTTTCTCTCTAGCTTTGTAGGTTTATCTGAAGACTTTTTTTTTTCTTTCAAGCTAATTGGGAAAAAGCTCTATGATTTAGAAAGATGTTCCCTTATTCTAATTGCCTCCCCTGAACTCTGTTTTGAATCCTCACTTGAGGATATGTTTACTGATTTGAGAGCGAGAGGAAGAGAGATGGAGAGAGAGAGACACACATCGATGTGAGAGAAACATTGATTGGTTGCCTCCCACATGTGTCCCAACCAGGGTCTGAACCTGCAACTTAGGTATGTGCCCTAACCTGGAATCGATCCC